CTCGGGCTTCGGAGGCTTTGGCACCGCCGCCTCCGGGACTTCCTTGTCGTACCTCGCCGAGCCTCCTTCATTTGCTGCTGTCTCGGATCCGAATGTTGTTGTGTCGCTTAAGAACATTCTGAAGAAGGACAGCACCACCAAGGCTAAAGCGCTCGAGGAGCTACTAGCTTATGTACAGGCTCATCCATTTGACAAGGATGGCGGGGTTGAAGAGGGCATCCTCGACGTTTGGGTGAGTTACCATTTTGTGATTCTTGAATTATTATGACTTACTAATATGAGCAGGTCCAAATATATCCTCGCACATCTATAGACAACTCACGTCGTGTGCGTGAACTGACGCATAACCTTCAGTTTGAGCTCATGAAATCAGCCCGCAAGCGTTTTGAACGTCATCTGCCAAAGATCGTCGGCGCATGGCTTGCCGGCCTCTATGACCGCGACCGTGTTGTTGCCAGGGCTGCTAGCGACGGTCTAACCTCGTTTCTCAACACCCCTGAAAAGGTCCTTGCGTTTTGGACCAAGTGCCAGGGCCAGATCCTTGACTATGCCATTGATGCTATCCAAGAAACACAAGATACCCTGAGCGACGAGCGATCAACAACGGCGGAGGATGCCGAGGCAAAGTACTACCGAGTTGTCACTGCTAGCTTGTCACTTGTCTTGAGTTTACTGCAAAAGGTCGAGCCAAGTAACTTGGAGAAGCTGCAGTCTCGATACGATGACTTTTTTGCAGAGGAAAACGTTTGGAAGACCATTACGTTCAATGACTCGTCAGTCAGGAAGACAGTATGTCAGCTGCTGTTCGCCTCTATCGACCGGAAGTTGCCATATGCCGATGATGCGAAGGTCAAGCAAGCCTTCATCACAGGAGGTCTAAAGACCAACCAAGCTGGCTCGGCACTCGAATATGTACGGGCGTTGACAAAAATGACACAAACATATCCCGATGTTTGGACATCGACGAAGACACCGAGCGGTCCAAAGTCTCCCCTTGGAAGACTGCAGGCATTCGTCGCCAAGGGATCTCAGGGAAGCCCGCCCAAGTTCTGGGAGTACTTAGATCAACTGCTGATGGTTCTGCCATCCGATTTGATCACACCCGAGGTCGCTTCCCAATTCTTGACGTCTCTCAAGTCTGGTATTACGCATCGCGATGAACCCCGAACGAACACTTCTTATGCATGGAAGTGCTTCATCGATACAGCCAAGCGTCTCCTCAAGAACCTTCCGGCTGACGACCAACTGCCATTTGTGCAAGAACATATCTTCCCTCTTATCGAGCAGTTCTTATTCTCGGTGTCAGAAAAGGCAGTAGCTATACCGCTTGGTCCGAATGCGATTTCAGTCCTGGTCGAAGCCTACATCGCCACTGTCCAAGCCTCACCATCGGTGGTATCCGCGTCCAAGGAAGAATGGGACCGACTCGCGAGCGTCTTCTGCGCAAAGATCTCCGGATCCTTGCCCGAGGTTTCGCGGGAGTACCAGCAATCTCAAGAAAAGATCTCTGAGGAAGGTCGACGGTGGTTTGGTCTCGTAGGCCAGATTGAAGAGAAGATGGCTGATCTGGAAGACGAGGTGCCAGACCATACAGCCCAGCCCTCTCTCAAAGCCATTTCCCAGAGTATCACACTGCTAGAGAGCCGGAACTTGAAGCCCTTTGGCGCAGCTCGAATCATCGAATACGCATTGAGTATGGCACCTCGCTTATTCGACGGCGAAGGGGCTATAACGCTCTCCACGTTCTTCACTACTTTGGCTCGTGACGATGCTGCCAAAGCCGTCACTTCGCCCTCTTCAAGGTACCTTCTCTCTTCGCTTCACCTTTTTGGCTCCGTATCAACTCAATTCGCACCTATCTGGAACTCTTGGGTCGAGGCTGTCCTCGATCTACCATCAGAGGCTACTCGTGATGTCGCCCTTGCGTCCCTGATCTCCAACGATAGAGGGGCTGTTCTCGCCAAGGGAAATATGGACTTGCAAAAGCACATTATCGGTCAGGCCGTTCTTCTAGCGGTTGGTGGTAGCAATGATTGGGAATTGCTGGAAGCTGCTGTCACATATCAGACTCTTACCGACAGCAATTACCGAGAGCTTGTTCAAGCTCTTGTCGAAATCCTTGAGAAGGAACCTTCAAAGACGGAATCAACCCTTCAAGCCTTGGAGATTGCTGCCAAGGGTCGTCCAGAGCTGTTCTCCCGCGATGAACGCGTTCACACAACATTGGTAGCTCTGCTTCTTGGTCTATCTGAACTTGAGGACTCTACTATATCTTCAAAGGCGACTGCCATCCGCACTCTTCTCGATACTCACACTGATGGAAAGCTACCTGTTATTGCTGTCGTTCAGGCCAACCTCGAGCGAGCGGGAACGCAGTCTCTGGACATTAACACCTTGGTGTCGCAAGCATACAGCGCGGTCTCTAGCGACATCCCGTCTGAAGAGCTCTTCCCAAGTACCAACGTGTGGATGAAGGAGCTTGCGCCGTTATTGGAATTGTCCGTCAATCCGGCTTTGTCAATTACTAACAGCATTGGCGGTGCTGCTGCCCTGGTAAAGGGAGCCCCTCGATCTACCAATCTAAGAATTTATCGGGACAGAAAGGGGCGTGCCATTCCTACAAGAATGGCTCTTTATGTGTCTCAGCTTTCGGAGAAGCTTCCACTGTCTCAGTTACCCAAACCATTCCAGCTTGAGCTGCTGTATCTTCAGTGCCTGACTGTGCAGCTAATTTCTGATCAAATCACCTGCATGGAGGAGAACCGACTGTGGCAAACTCTGAAGCATGCCGAAGGTAGCGCACAGGCTGAAGAGTTCGTCTCCAAGACACGTGGAACATTGAATCAGTTGGCTGTTGATGCTGGCGCCTGGAGCGACTCGGAAGAGAAGCCGATCATCCAAGACCTCATTGATCTGTTGACCCAACACTCTCAAGAGCTGACACCCAGAGGGCTATATAGTGCACGTGCGCTCAGTGAGCTCGTCCAATTCCTGGCTGAGGCACATGGGGCATCGTCCAGTTTTGAAGACGCTCTTTTGAAGCCCGATGTTCTCAAGATTGGCCCTACCACCGTCCTGCCGGCCTCAGCTATAATTGCTGGGTTTGGAGAGACTCTCCAACCATCCAAGATTGCTAGCAACTTTTGCAATAAGGTTGTGAGTGAGGTTGCAGGAGCCAAGGTAGATAGTGACAAGACATTGATGACTCTTGTTCTTCTGTCGCAATGTGCTCAGATTTACGAGGCAGGTGAAATGCCCGTGGCTAACAACCGAATTGTTTTTGCCGTCCGTCAAATCACCTCCTGGCTTGACGAGCCTGAGAGCTTGAGCCCAGCCCTTTGTGCCGAGATTTGTCGAGCATTGAACAAATTGCTACCTTGTATGAAGGACGTATATGGATCTTACTGGGAAAAGACCATCGAGTTTTGCATATCTCTGTGGAATCGTGCGCACGAGTTCGAGCTGAACGAGGCTCTTCCCTTCATTCATTCTTCACTCAGGTTATTCAAGACCATTGAGTCTTTGCAAGAGCCCAACGATGATCTTGAAGATGCCCTCAAGGAATACGCCAGTGCCAAGCCTAGGGCGTTGATTGAGCTGCTGCGACTTCCTCGGGATACTCGCTCCCAGCCGCTTGAGATTGTGGATGCCATGCTTTGCCGAGAAGTCCAGAAGATTTCTCTGCGACATGTGCCTGATCTGTCTGATATCTTTGGCCTGGTGGCGTCGGAATCGCGGGACATCCAGACAGCTGCGTTCAACCTGCTTCACCAGGCTCTTCCTGAACAGCAACAGCAGAAGTCCATTGATGCTTTGCTGGAAAAGACAGGTATGTGTAACGATCTCCGCCACGAAGACCAAGAATTGACAGTTCCAGATGCCCGACTCCCTGACGAACTCCTCTCACTTCTTCTTGACGCCCCTACGCTCGAGAAGTACTCGGACGAAATGCTCGCCGAATTTCCCTCTCCTATCCGCTCATATCTCCTCTCCTGGAAGCTCGTCTTTGATGCCTACTCGACATCATCATTCAAGATCCGAAACGACTTTACCGACAACCTCAAGCAAGATAACTGTGTAGGACCACTGCTAGACTTCATGTTTGACGTGCTCGGTCACTCAGCTGCTCATCCGTTGAAACTAGAAAAGGTCAACCTCACTTCAGAGCACATCCAAGACTACGATGTGAAATTGGCAGAGTCAGAAGCCGAGGAGAAGAACATGCAGTGGCTGTTGGTTAATCTCTTCTATCTTCTTCACAAGTACACTCCTGGCTTGTTCCGTGCTTGGTACATCGACTGTCGTTCAAAGCAGACGCGTATCGCTGTTGAGTCGTGGACGACCAAGTACTTCTCGCCCATCATCGTCTCAGATGTCCTAGATGATGTACAAAAATGGGCTGATAGCCAGGAGCCTCCTGCTATGGACGAGAAGGAACTTGTTGTACGTGTTGCTAGATCCTCTAGAGAAATCATAGCTGGCTATGAAGTCGACGAGGATCAAGCCGCCATCGCCATCAAGATACCTCAGAACTACCCCATCGAAAATGTCTCTGTGCAGAGTCTCAATCGTGTCGCCGTCAATGAGAAGAAGTGGCAGAGTTGGATCATGACGACACAGGGCGTCATCACCTTCTCCAACGGCAACATCATCGATGGTCTACAAGTCTTCAAGCGAAACATTCTCGGTGCGCTCAAGGGCCAGACCGAGTGTGCTATTTGCTACAGCATTATCTCGACTGACAAACGCATGCCTGATAAGCGATGTACCACTTGCAAGAACTTATTTCATAGGACGTGTTTGTACAAGTGGTTCCAGAGCAGTAACCAGAATACTTGCCCGCTATGTCGAAACCCAATTGACTATCTGGGTTCAGATACGAAGAGACGGCAGGGTTAGAAGGAGTATCACTTGGTAGTATAGTATAGAAGATAGAATAAAAAGTTTTGTATTAGCATTCAATGCTGCGTCTTGGTAGAGAGATTGGGTCGACGGCGTGTCTACACCTTGGCACTGCCATTTTCGTTGTCATCGCTGTCATCGCTGTCCTCGCTGTCCTTGCTGTCCTCGCTGTCCTCACTCTCCTCGCTCTCCTCAACAAGCTTTGCACCGCCATCTTCGTTGTCATCGCTCTCTTCAATGAGCTTCACATTCCCATGTTTCTTGTCCCCCACATCCCTGTCCTACAGCTTGGCACCGCCCTCCTCGTTGTCCTCGCTCTCTTCAACAAGCTTTGCACCACCATCTTCCTTGTTCTCCACAAACCCACTCTGCTTGTCGTCCTTCTTGTCGGAGGAGTTTTCGTCATTTTCAGAGCTTCCAGCCTTGTCATTCCCGGCACTATCGCGCTTAGGAGGGTTCTTGAACTTGTCGACCTCGGAGGGTATGAACTTGTTGTTATCTGGTTGATGTTAGGGATGTTGGAGAGAAGAATATGGAGTACATGCCTTCAGGGACGCGCATTGTGTCTGTTTGGAGTGTTATTGAAGCGTGTTTGAAGCGTTTATTTATTTATAGTGTATCAGAAGTGTTGACGTATTTATGGAAGCGTTTTGTTTCGGTGTATTTTTGTTTGTAGCGTGTAGTGAGTTGATGAGATTGATCGACGAGAGGAATTACGGTCGGGTTATATAGATTATACGAGGCAAAAAGTCTAATGTTGACAATTTATTTGACGATGAATTGTTCATTGTTGACGTGCAATGCCAGTGTTTCGGTGATATGATGCTGCCAATTGACCTCAGGGGTTCACGGCCAAGGCTTTGTGGGCAAGAGCCTGGGAATATCTGTCAGTGATGTTACTAAGGCGAGAAGAGAATCGCAACTGACCTGCTCAGCAATAAGTCGCTTACTGTCGTAGCGAAGGAGCGATGACACGAGGTCGATGAAGTCAGGATCTACATGAGGAAGAAGGTCTTCCCACGGACGAGCGGGGAAGACAGTCCAGAGCTCGAAAGGTGCGACCTTGAATTGTTTTGCCTCGGGCCATGTCTCAGGCGTGGGTGTACCAATGGTCTTGAAGACGCTGAGGATAAGACCAAGCTGATTACCATCCTCATGGACAGCGCGAGACTCGAATATAGGGGTTGGAGGATCGCGGAGCGCTTCTGAAAGCATGACCCCTAACCCCCACATATCAACCTCTGGTCCGTAGGATTTATGCCCGAAGAGAACTTCTATCGCGCGGTAAGGACCTGTTCCGATGTCGAGGATCTTATCGTCTGCTGGTTCTGATCGGGTTGATAGCTCGGGATGCCATGCTGTACCAAAGTCGGAGAGATACGCTGGACCAGTTGGGGATGAGAGGAGGATTGCAGATGGTTTGATATCGCGGTGGATGATGCCTTGTGCATGTATGTCTTTCAGGGCGTGCAAGACATCTCGGAAGATAGACCGGACAGCATCAAGCGGTAAAGGACCATTGGCGAGAAGGTCTGCCAGAGTACATGGCATGAACGGAAATACCAGCACAAATCGCTGCTCCTGATCGCGAAACGTCTCGAGGAGAGGAATACACGGTTCTCTCAAACCCTTGAGTATCTTTGCCTCCCTCTGCGGATTATGCGGCTCGATATCTTGATAAGTCACGATGACTTTAAGCGCCTTATCACCGGAACGAAAGACCTCTGAGGTTACACCATCCGAGACAGGTCTACAGTTCCCATACGGCCCAATGCGTATCCTAGAGTCACCCTCCTCTTCATCCTGAGGAGGCAAAGGCGTTGGTGTCGAGGTTGGCTGACAGGCGAGATTGTACTCGTCCTAGGCCATGTCAGCGGATCCGCGAGTTCTGGACCGCTGAAGTTGAGTTGGGCGCACCTGAGTAGAAGCGATTTGGTAGGCGGCCTGTTCTATGGCGATGGCCTCACTCATGCTAGTGGTAGCAAGGGAGGCTTGTCTACGTACGCACGGGAGTTAGTATTTGTGCGTTACACATTAGGCTGCTTACATTTTTTGAATCGTCTCATAGCGCTGAGACATGGTCAACGCAGCTTTCCATCCCGGTAATTCCATTGTTTTGCTTTGCAGGGTTTGTTTTAGATAGTGTAGGTGAGATGACAGGTCAAATTGCGATCTAGAAAGTCAATTGCTGTCAAAGGATTATAGCACAACAGATAAAATTTCCCCGCTTGACGGTAAGAAGAGCAAAGATCAGCCTTTGTTACTGGGATGTCTTAGGTTTTGAGTATCTGGATTCTGGTGGAAAAGCAGATGGAGAACAGGCCCGCTATTTCATAAAGCAGAAACAAGGCCGAGGTGACGATGACGAGGAGCAGGGGATATAGTCTAGTAGTTATGCAATGCCTGTCAAGTCAGAAGAGATCAATATCTTTCAGCACAAGATACTTGAGTGTAGAGCTTCATCAGGTTGATATTAGAATATATCGAGTACCGAGACTATGAGGTCATGTCGTGGCCTCGTGACTCTAACTTAATTTGTTAGGGAACTTCTCGAAGGCCTCTAGAGAAAACTAACCAACCACCAAACGTTTTGCCCATTAACTTAGCTCCACCGTCTCCAAGTTAAGCTACCCCAGTCTTGGGGAGCAAGAAAACATCAGACCTTGGAATGAGGTGTCAAAATAAACTCAGCAAAGAATACTTCAAAGCTGTCCTAATTTTATACTAAATTACCTGAGTCTTTTTGTCATTTAGGATCGGGGTCCTGAGTTTTCTTTCCTCACCTAGCCCGGCCCGGCCCAAGCCCAAACGAACCTGACTCTGCCAGCCCTGTCTTGTTTCGCTCACTTCCAGCGCCAGCCTCTCTCTAGTTATTCTGGGTCAGGGCCTTTTTAGCCGTTGTCGTCCCAGCCAAGGCATTAAGTTACTCTTCTGTCTTGTTTTCCAACCTCGTGTCCCGTCCCCGTTCATCCTCGGCTGCATCGCATTGCATTGGCATTGGATCTACGCATTCTGCGGCAATAATACTCACTTACTCCTCAGAGTCCGACTCTTCCGATAATATCACAATCATCTGATCTACTACGGATACTCCTTTGTTACGTAGCTCATCATCGCATACCAACAAACTCAGCTTGTCTGTCTACCTCCGAATCTCGACCGACCCCTCTCGCTCAACCGAAACCGCCATGCGCATCACGTCCTCGAGCGATTAATCCTATAATTAATTCACTACTCCCTCGTCCGCATCTATACATAATTACAGTAATCCTTTGCGCTGTCCATCATGGAGGATATGAGGGCCGAGTATCCCGCCATGCTGGTGAGCTAAATCCCCTCGACCTCCAATTCCATCGCCTCAGGCGACAATGGAGGCAAAGGTCAATACAATACCGGGCTGAACTTGTATTGACTCTCTTGCGCTGTGAATAGGCAACTCTTCAGCCCAGCCAGGCGGTGCAGACTCTCACCGAACGAATGAAGCGCATGTCCCGCGTCAACACCGAAATTGCCGACTGGCTCCAGGTACGACAATCCGCAAACCGCCAATGGCTACGCAACAACATGGCATCATGCTGCAAGCCTCGACGACATCCCGCTAATCAATTCTACACAGGAGCGCCGTCGCGTGGAGGATCAGTACGTGCAGGGCCTCAAGAAGCTTGCTACCTTCAAGGTTCCCAACTCTCAGTCTGGGCTAGGGTAAACATCCCTCCTGAGGCCTTTGTATCGCAATTACTCACAGAACTGCAGTGTGTTCCAAGCGCCGTGGAATAGAATCATCGACTCGACGGAAAACATCGCCCACTCGCACCATCAGCTTGCCGATCGCATCGAGAGAGACATCGAGCATCCGCTGCGAAATTTTGCCAACCGCAAAGATGTCCAGAACATGAACACCATGTCCAGCAACCTAACGAGTATGGCTAGGGACCTCGAAGAGTCCCAGAATCAGGTTGATAAGCTCACCAAGAAAGGAGGCCGTGCAAACACTTCAAAGGTCGATGCAGCTTCTTCCAAGCTCGAATCTGCTACAGGGCAGTGGGAGTCGCAGGCACCGTTCATCTTCGAATCTCTCCAGGCCCTCGACGAGTCACGAGTGAACAACCTGCGTGATCTTCTCACACAGTATCAGACACATGAATCCGATTCAGCTGGACGTGTGCAGGAGAACGCTATGGAGACTCTTGCTCTGATGCTCGAAATCGACACTGAAAAGGAGATCCAATCATTCGTCCACAGGGCTACGGCTGGCAAGGCGAAGCTCCCTACAAGGACATCAACACGGCAGTCGTCTTTTGCAGGCACAACTCCTTCGACACCAGTGCCTCCTAGCACTGCGGATAGCACCAATTTACCTGCTCAGAGCGCTCACACATCGTCTCCTGCGCCTGTTCCAGCCCCCGCCTCTTCCCACGCAGGCGACGATGATATCAGCGAACACAACTCGGTTCCACAGGAGAAGCCAGGTAGGTCCACTGGCAGCACCCTTTACTGGTCACTAACAGCTTCAAGGTGGTAAATTGCGCCGTCTCGGTACCATGTTCGGTGGACGCAGGAGACAGAGCATGCACGCCGGTTTCGGCCAGCTCTCTCCCGGAAAGCTAGGTCCCAGCTTCGGACGCATGGGAACCAGTCACAGCCAAAACGATCGCGGTGTCTCCCCTCGAGGCTCCTCCAACAACCTCGCAGAGCACCACCGACTGTCCTCTCTAGCAGAAACTCCCGATGTGCCGAAGCTACCCAATAACGAGACCGATTCACCCAGGCCCGATGCTTCGCATGAGAACACGAACGGAGTGTCGCACAACGGAAATCTGCTCGACAGCCCGATCCCACAAACGACCGGGGGTACAGTCAACGGTAACCATGAACCCGATCTGTCAGATGTCCAGCCTCCTCCTGGCCCTCCGCCGTCGCACAAGCAGGAGAACCAGTCCCCCGCGCCGCAACTCGCAACCAAGGACGCTGAAGGATTCACCGTTCCACCACCAATGAACGACCCCATCTCTGAGGCTCAGCGTGAAGCTAAGGAATCTGGCGAAGATCCTGACCAGCTTCTCAAGGTCAACATTCAGCAGACTCCTGTAGAGGATGAAGATCCAGAAGCCAAAATGGCTGCTCTGTCTAGCGTCGCCAACAGTCTCAAGCTTGGACCGGCCACTCGTCGTAGTGGTACAGTGAGAGGACGTCGTGACGTGCGCCATACCATGTATGTGCCACCGCCCAACCTCCCTGAGAGCGGTACAGATTCGTCCCTGAGCGCTAGGCCGACATCTCCATCTTTCGCACAATCCCTTTCCAAGGGAAGTGCAGTTGCAGCCTTGGCATCTGAGGCTAGCATTGCTGGTACTTCAGATACACAGTCCGTGAGATCAGGACACTCATTGGGTGGTTTGAACCATCCCCAGCATCCGCATATGACTGCTCCTGGTCTGAATGCCTCTATCATTGAGACTGTTTCTGCTACATTTGAGGATGGCGCCGTCAAGTCCGCAACCATTACTGGTGAGATAGCAGTCGTCAACAACCCCAGTGATTCCGGTGATGCGAAGAGTAAGCTATCCCCAGTATCACAATAATCACACTCACTAACACATATCAGGCTACGAGACTATCCGCATCAACAACTCTTCCGCCCTTGAGCGCATCGGACCGAACCGCATGTTTGTGGAGAACTCGTCTCCTGACCATAACGATCAGTTCAACATACATATGGCTCCTCTCCTCGCCAACAACACGCCCGCATTCTCATACCGAGTATTTTCCGAGGAGTCCGAAACCCCTATACTCGGCGAGCATGCTCCTCTCTCACTCAAGCCTGCATGGAAGCCCCAAGGAGACAAACTTGGCCTCTTGCTACAGTACCAGCTCAACCCATCGTCAAAGCTCACCGCCCCGGTAACACTACACAACGTTGTCATCGTCGCCACCTACGAAGGCAAATCCAGTGGCGCCCAGACAAAGCCCGTAGGAACACACCTCAAGGACAAGCACCTCGTGTACTGGCGCATCGGCGATCTTACCCTCACAACGGAACCTCACAAGATCGTCTGCCGCATCATCGGCGCAGAAGGCGCAGAGCCCAAACCAGGCCACATCGAAGCACGCTGGGAGTTTACAGCCACAGGCGATCAAGTCGTCGGAAGCGGTATCTCCATCTCTAGACTCGACGAGGGTAAGGGTAAAGGCAAGGATGTCTCTGAGGACGATCCCTTCGCAGACGACACCGCCAGCACAGAACACAAGTGGGTTGACGTGCCTACCTCGAGGAAGCTCGTCAGCGGTAAATACGAAGGACGGTAGTGGGTGGTGTTGAATAATTCTCACGTGCATGGATAGAAAAGACAAGATATCTGCCATATCTTGGCGGCGCATTGAATAGCGAGCGTAATGGGGCTTGTTCCTGGGGGTGAACTTTTTCACTCTTCCTTCATTTTGTTACCCATATTGGCCTTTTTTTTCTACAGTATAATTTCTCTTTGTATGCGTATTTGTATGTTTAAAAACCACAAGCTACCTAGGAGGAACAGAAAGTAGGCTAAAGCTGAAAGAAACAGAACCATGATGAATCATAAAAAGGGACATTACCCATGTCCAGAGTCTTTTTTGCAACTTCGCTGCGTCTATACCAATTCCTTTTTGTCCTTACTCCCAAAACCATCCTCATTCATGGGACGTGAAGTTATGCTCTTAATATACAGAAATGATCTCACGCCTTTTTGCTCTTTTTACTATCTTGGTCCTTCTTATACTTCGAATACTTCTCCCCCAGATAACGCCACGTTCTTGAGAGTCCACCCATTAATAAGCCCTTGATGCTTTGCACGGTACTTGGCCAGTTGACCGTTTGCTTGATAACGACGCGTACCGTGTCATTGAGTTTCTGGGCGTCGTCTGTGGCGATGCGGCGCTCAAACTCTCCACCCTGCATCTTTTTAACGGCGCCGCCTTCTTCGTCCGTTGAGGCTTTCATGAGCTCGTTGAACTCTCCGCGGGGAATGCCGAAGCGTCTTTGGTATTGGAAATAGAGACGTGATCGGAAGGTTTGGGGAAGTCGTCTGACCATGTTACCCCGACGTATGGGATCCATATCTTGCTGGAGCTTGTTG